GACTTCTTGAAAAAAAGTGACACAAAAAAGCTTACCATGCTGTCAGGCACTATAATGTCATTAAAATCCTGACCCTTCACTGCTCAACAAGAGCAAAGAATAAAAGTGAGGCCTTCTGTTTTTTAACTACATAGAATGTCCTCCTCACAAATCAAGAGAATCCGTCTTACTGATAACAGAAAACAACAAAGTAATTGAGAAAATACCACCAAATTAAAAATCAGATTTTGATTTCTCATGGTAATACCTTCTTATCATTATTATATGCTGGTGTACATATGAACATTTTTTTTGTTCATATAGGGCTTCATATGCATCAAATTAAATTCAGTACTTGAAAATGGCTTTGCTAATTAATTAAATATATTTGAGACAAAAGTTAGAAATAGACTGTATTAGAAAGTTGTTTGCAGGACTAATGGAAGTAACATCATATAGGAAGACATCACAACAGGAATGATGGAAAAATCAGGGTGAAGAGGGAGAAACAGAGAAAAGAAACAAGAGTTGGAAGAGAGCCGAGGGAACAAACTACACATAAAGAAACCAGGGAGAGGAGTTGAAGAAACCTAAGAATGGGTCACAGAGTCAACAGGTGTGAATCTGTAGCCCTACTAGACAAGTTGCATTTCTGCTCATCACATCAAGAACAGCTACTTCCACCAAAACAAAAGATACAATACCCATAAATCATATTCCTCTCCTCCAAAAGCCAAGCTCTTCAGAGAGCACACGGAGTTCTCCTCCCCGCCACTTAGATCTCTCATTTGCCAGCACCTCTCTGAATAGAATGATACTAGCTCCCAGCTAGTCTGATTTATATAGGCAGATCTTTGGACGTAAATCTCCACCGTTTCTTCCAACAAACACAGATAAAGATCTCACAATGTCACATATCAGCCATTTTCAAAACATGGTATCTGTATCACTACTAGTACACACGTCATTCTGAAGCAGTACAGAAACACTGTCTTGAACAGGTAAACACCTCTGCTGCTGTCACTGCCACCAATGGCAATATGTAAGGAAATGAGATTGAAAAGTTTGTCTTAAGTCTCATGTAACAAGCAGTACTGAGAGTGAACTAGTCACTCCATTATTTTCTTGCAACTAGAATCTTTTGTTCTGCTACTCTGCTAATACCAGCACTGGATTTCTCCTCTATTGATTATGGCAAAAAAAAAAAAAAATCCAATACAGCTATAAAATCTGCTACTGGTTTTCAGTCTGATAGTCTCTTTGCTGTCCTTCCATTTCTTTCTTATAAAGCTACAGAGATTTTTTTTTTTTCCCCCTGCAACACCTATGACTTGTGAAGAAGGCTCTTTCAAGTCCCCTAAAACAAGCCACCAAACTGCTGATGCATCAGAGCTAAGTGAAGATGTTAATTTTCACTCTTAAACACCAAAAGAGTTGTAAGCCTTTTGGCTTTCATGCTTTCTCCCCACCATAATGCCACAGCTAAAGCAAGCAAAAGTTGCTAACTGGCTTGATTATCTTCCCTTATTAATGGAAGGCTACTGCTAACAAAGGGCTTTTGATAAAGATTTATTTCCTCTGGAATGCCTGAACCACCAAAACCAGCCCCCACCTGCTCATCTACTAGGCATACTGCAAAATAATATGAACGGCTACCATGGTAGAGTTTGGAAGGCACACCTAACAGCTGCTAAGACTAGACATTTGAAAGCAGTATAGATCACAGGGTTGGTGGATCAAACAATGTATAGGAAGAAGGAAGATTTATTTTTTGCTTTGGACAATTTTACATTTGTACTCTTGAGTAACTGCTCAGCTGTTATATTCACATACACAGATCAAGAGGACTTAAAGCTTAGATACACTTTTTTGATATACCATGTGTTTGAACCATCAGGAAAACAAACACTGGTAGATTGTATAGTTGTTAAACACTGACAGTTAAATAAGAAAGATTTTCAGCTTACTTGGGTTTGTAAATACAATCTCAGAACATTAACTTTTTCAATGATGAACACAGTTTAATCAGAATTCTTAGTATCAGCCTTGGTGATCACACCTTTCTCAGCCAAAAAAAAAGCAGAACATTTTATTTTGTGCCCTCAGGCATGTACCAACTAAAAAACCAGATCTTTGTAAGATAAACAAAAATGTCTTATCTCACAACCAAATTTTCCAATTGATATGCAGCAAAATCCCTCATCCAAGCAGCTTCTAATGATGTAGACTCTCTTTCTAAGCACTTGACCAAATGCTTAATCACCCTGTCCCAGAACAAAAAAATACAGCTCTTACATAACAGTTTTCAGCACTGATCTTCAAACACTTCACAAAGTTGCTATTATCCATTACTGCTAACCCCAGAGACACAATATCCCATGCCGTTTTACCCAACAGGTTAATGACAGAGCTAAAAATAGAATCTGTATTTCCTCAGTCCCAGGTGAGTACTACTACTTACTATGCCATAGTGCCTGACATTTCTTTGAGAATAACTCAAGTCCAAACTGACATTCAACAGTCACTTCTACTTAGATAAAGAAAACCTAAACCCCTCTACACTGTCATAACACAGTCAACTACCACAGTTCTCATGTGCTGTGTTTCAAGAAATCCAAAGAGGTCTTCAGAGCATTTATTGAGGGTGTGCCTGTACTCTACAGCAGCAGGACACTTCTCAGACTAATTAATTCATGGGGAGCTTCCTCACTATATTGCTTCTGAGCAAGCTCATTTATCTTCATATTACATTATGCAGTGTAGACACACCCTCAAACAAACGAATTTCTCCAGATAAGGGATACACGTTTGAGGAGGCAAAAGCAGTTTAAAAGACATTATTACGAACAAATGCTCTCACAGTGCAATCACTTGTATTTCCACTTGACTCTCATGTTTAAATTCTACCTATTTCAGAACGGATATAAATTAAAATGGGGAAAAAAAATGCATTGTTCTGTTCCTGTCAGAAAAAGAACTATATCGATAACAGCTTAAGTGAAATTTGGCAAGATGACATGTGAGAGGGTCTTCTCCCCTAGCATGAGGAATGCAATTTGCTGTTCTTCAGAAGAAAAAATAACAGTAGTCTAAATGACAGGGAAGCATCAAATTCCAAAAATAGGTTCACGTTGGAAACTTGCTCAAGTTTGGCAATAAATTTGCCACACGCTTTGTCTACGCTGTGCTGTTTAAAGGGTGTTTCTCTTCTGCATACCTTCCCAAAGCCTGACTGAGAACTCTCAATTTCCAAGACCAAATTCTTGATTCACTCTGTCTCTGCCGTCAGCAACTATCTGTAAAAATCACTAACAATGTATGCATTTTTACATTCCTCCAACACTGGTTTGGTACAGAATTAGAGGTTTAAGCTTACTTTTCAGTGATTTATACACTTACTTAGTCAAGCTTCACATAATAGAAAGTTTTCATTTTTCAGTTGCTATAAGATGCACATACCCCCACCACTCCAGAAAAAAACTACCATAAAAAAAAAAAAATAACTCTAGTGGTCAAGAAACTAAAGTACCTCTCCCATTCCTGCACACAAGTGCTGTATGATATTGCCTTCAACTAACCAATCGCACCTTATTTTTTTCCAGAGGATCTTCTCCTTGTTCTAACAATAGGACAGAATGCTAACACTGAATGAGCACTCATTCAATACTTGATTTCAGTCTCACTGCTCACCATGTTGCATCTTTGTATAATTTACAGCACCTACTTTCAGACTCTTAAATAGAAAACTTCTTATTTCCCTGTTGATCACTATTATGTACCTGAATTATTTCCTTATACCAATTACTCCACAGCACCTCCATCAGTTTTACGGTTCTTGTTTTCAGGTAGCAAACTGGGAGACAGTGATGTGCATCTGGATTGCTCGTAATTGGAGATGCTTGACTTGAGATGCTTTGGGTCTCTCTTCAGAGGATAGAGCAATTAAACAGCACTTTGTCAGTACAAAGTACAACTTCAATCTATTTCAGTGCTATCGTGTTTTCAAAGCTGACATTAATCAGTCCCAAGAGTCGGAACTCAGAAAATGAGAAGTACACAACTAATGGCCATATTTAAAAAAAGTGGTTGAAGTGACTCACCCAACCTTATGCAGGAGCTCTATGGCTGAATTAAGCTTTGGTCTTAACCCTCCAGACCAGCATCCCAACAGCTCTAGCTTTAAAACCAATCTCTTTTAGTGCTATTCTCTCCCTTCCTCACCTAACAGGTCTCATCCACCTTCAGCAGTTACAAGGAAGTAGATCTAAAGGAAACAATCTCATTAATTAGCACATCTGGATTAATTTCCAAAACACTGTCTTCCTGAAAATAGCAAGTGTTTTAAGGATAAAAAAAAAAAGAGACTGAAAAGACATCAGCATATGTGATTGTAAGGCAGAAAGATAAATGTGACCAAACTGAGGTCTGAACAAATAACTTCAATTATAGCATTTCCTATCTGTTGAGAAATTCACATTGCATCACTGTCAGAGAATTTCACATTCCTGGAATTTTCATTTCATGCAGTTTAAAATAATAATGTAAGATTTAAATTAATGTTTGTGTTTCCATCATCTCACTTACTACGTTTGCAGCTTCAGGCTTGAATTCCTACTATAAGGGCTCTTGATACTAAACACCATCCAAACAATCACTACAAGGGCAGGCCTTCACCACAAAGCTAATGGTCTGTGAGAGAACCAGTACGCAGCATACGGACATTATACAGTTAGGAATTGCAGTGCAGCAACAAGCAGACATGTCCTAACACCATTTTCTATCAGAAACCTTTCTATCACCTGAGAAAACTCAGCTTCTTTCAGTTTGACCAATGCCAGCAGATAACATATCACTACTTCCCTTGTTTGACACAAACACGGTCCTCAAGCTTTAATTCTAGAATTTTTTACAAACCACAATAGCATCACAGCATAGTGTTTCGTCACACAAGTTTATCATAAATAAGTATTTGTTTGAACTTCTGTTTAAAAAAAGCATTCAAAAACAAAATGAAAACTCACCTCATTTCCACCAACAGCTTTGGTTAAAATTACTGCAGAAGACACAGGAGGTGGCATGCAGCCTACTGTCTGCAAGCTGAAAACAACAAAGAGATATGTTACATTCCTCACATGATGCAAACAGCATGCAACTTAAAACCTTAAAATACCACAAAGCTGAGTAGAAGCAATCATCTTATCACCTGAGCCACCCAATCAGTTTGCGTTACAGTTACAGCCCTGCACCAGCTGGCAGGGTTTCTATGCCACCTCTTACCAACCACCACAGTGAAGAGTCATGGCACCATTTAAAAACCCAAACACTTAACCTTTCTGGGACCCCATTTCCCCATCTGTAGTACTGTATCTACCATCCACAAAGATATCTACACATCTATCACAAAGATAACTACATTACATGTCCTGATGTAGTAAAGTTTGTAGTGTGTTTTGAGATACCTGTACCTATTTTGGAAAAAAGAAAATAAGAATAAACTCCTATTTTCTTGAAAAAGCTGTTCAGTGATAAAAACATTTACTGCTAAGTGGAAGAGTAAGAACCACCATTCTCAGTACTTCAGGTACCCACTACACTTTGTTTTTCATCAACCCCTAAAAAAAAAAAAAAAAAAAATCACAATCGAGCTTTTTATTTCCTGAACATTAAAAGGCCATCGAATGTTTCATTTTTTTGCATGTTTTCACTTCTTGGTAAGATCACCTGACTTCCACTAATCAAAATGTAAAAAGCTTTCTCCTGCATTTTTGAAGTCTAAAATGCACTATTATCTGTCATTTTTTCCACTGTTTGTGCAGCATAATCATCAATGTATATAGTAAATGCTGTTGCCAAGTAAGAAAAAAAAGTGGTAAGCTTTCCTTTGTTTTCAAAGACAGTCCATTAAACTGGATATTACAAAAATTAGTTGTATCAAATGTGTATTTAGAAACAAGAACAACATACCACAGTAGATTACAATTAAATCTGGGGCCAAGTAAAACAGTGCTTCCGAAGAAAAACTGTGTTGATTTAGAAGGAACAGTAAGGCATGGAATAAAACAGTCTGCAAAACCCCCAAAAGCACAGAATGAACATGTCTTCAAGTACTGGAGTTTGAGACAGTACTCTAGTTCAGAACAATCAATTACTAGTGGTGAACTACTTTGCACTTATAACTGTATTAGTCCATCCTCAAGAAAAGCAGTGTCAAAAAGCTGTAGCAAACAGTAGTATTACATCCAAACAATAGGGAACATATTACAGTCCAACTGATATGCTGCAAATAGACAAAAAGCTTAAATAGAAGAAACAGGTAGATGACTGATGGTATTCAGTTTGTCAGCTACAGACACTGTGGAAAAGGAAAGAGGCAAGCAAAGTAAACTTTATATAAATCCAATCACAAAGCACCACCGTGGAAGCAGATAGCACCTTTAGCTTATAGAGGAATAAGCTATGGAAGCACAAAGTTGTCAGCACTTATCTGGATAAACTCATACTGAAAAGAAAAGAAATACAGGAAAAAGAAATGGTGTGGAAAGTTTGGAAATATATACGAAAATACACAGCAGACAAACACGTGGTGAGTCTGATGTCCATCCCCTGCATAGGTTGTGACACTGTTATCTCTCTTCTATGTGGTCCCTTGGCAGCCAGCTCCTTGAACTTCTCACCTGCACTAGTAAGGGGTGGATTAAGCTCAAAGTTATCCAGAGAGTTATGAAATGCGTGCAAGGGCATTCATCTCAGCTGGCAGGGATTTTCCACACTATAAGGGAAAGGTTTAATAATACAATATCTGTTAACTCTCTCAATTTAAAAATAATACATTTGAAATTACAGAAATTTAAAATCACTATCAAGCTATGGTTTTAAATATACTTCATATGCAAATATTTATCTACCAAAAAACTGGTACACACTAAATGGAAATACTTTTAATCAGGTGTATTGAAACATGCATCTGTGAACTTTTTTCTTGCTTTGTATCAACTACAATACTATCAACAGACAAATAAATTGCTCTAATGGACTATAGATTACTACAGATAAAAATCAACAAACTGAAATGTTCCACTGGTTCAGGCCATGTTATAAGCACTAACATCAGGGGTCCAAAGAATTGCTGAAGAGTGATAAATAATACCTGTTCTGCTGATACATTGCAGGCAACTGAGTAGTAGGGTTCAAAGTCCCATATTTTAGATATGGAACTACCAAAGCCATATCTGGTACCAGATTTTTACATCTCATGCCTTACCACCCGTGCCATAAATGCTATATGCTAAGAGTGGCAGAAGAGGTGAATCTGTGTAAACATTAATATCCTGCTTCACACTCCTTTTCAAAGAGATGCCGTCAATGCAAAACCTAGTAAGCTCACAAAAAATTAAATAAAAAGATTCTTGGGATGATGTCTGTTTCTCCTCTATTTTATATATTTCAAAAAAATTGCACAGCAACAAACTTCCCAATATCACCCCAGACAGAGAGGAAGAATCAAAAAAACAACTGTAAAAACACAGATGAAAAGCTGGTACCATCTGAATCTGCCTCTCAAATAACATTTAGAGCAAAATAGACTGTTATAGAGGATGGGAAAATATACCATTCATTCTGAAGCAAGACAGGAAATTAACTGCAGGCCTGACTGTGCCCTTTAGGAACAATCATGTGAGGAGGGTAGTGGAGAACTAGAGCCCAGGGGAGCCACCCTGCCAAGGTGCTGCATGCCCTTGGGAGCATATGCCTATTTTCCAGGACTTTGTGAGGACTGTCAACTAGCTCCCACTACAAACTGCACTAAACGTGCATGATGAGGAAGTAACTTTGCCAAAGCCTGTCTTGTTCCCCGCTGTTTTCATTAGAGTGCTTCAATGTTTCTAGGGAATAAAAATTGCAGCTGTGGGGCACTGGGATGAACTGGTTACACAGAGCGGCCAAGGCACGGGCAGTCCTCACATCAGCTCCTCACTCTCCTTTCACATACCCATACAGGGACATGAGAGCACCTGCTTTAAAAATGTGTTATCCTAGAGTTAGAACAGAGCTCAGTATCTTCTGCAGCTGCATACCACTGAAGTTACAGCTCCCATCAGGCTCCCTTTGCAGTGGGTGCCTTCAGAGCTACACCATGGCTGCTGCTCTGAGCATGTCCTGAACAGCAGTACTTATCAAGAAAGCACTCCTGGGACAAACAAAACAAAACAAACAAAAAGAAAAACCCCATCTTCATTAAACTCCTCAACCTGGACAGTCTTTGAATGAAGTCTCAACACAGAGTTAATGTACTAAAAGATAAAACACAGACAAAACAGAAATAGTACTCAAGGAACAAGTGCCTGCAAGGCAACTTGAAACATATAGAAGTACACTAGCTCACTAGTAAAACGCAGACACAGCTTCATGAAAAATGAGGGTGGTTTAGACTCCACATTTAAGGAGATACACATACAAGTGTTTCTTTAAAAAAAAAAAAAACAAAACAAAACAAACATATGTAGTTTTACACACAGTTTCACAGGTGTGTATGTATCTACACAGACATATACTTGTGCATGTAACAGATTGTGTTCCTTAAGTACTAGGAACCAAAGTGGCATAAGAGTCATAGCAATGAAGGGTTGAGAAGTGCTGCAAGGAACAAAAACCACAAAAATCTCTTGTACGTTACTGAGACTTCCATGGACTGATTAGGAGGGAGCTTTGGCTCACTGTGGAAAATTATGTCTCTGTTCCAGCTGAGAAAAAACTTCACAATGAGTTTACTTTAAAGAATAACATTGACTATGAACAGCCAAATGCACCTGGACATTGTATAGCAACCTTGTTATCTCCTTGATGTACTAATACTGTTAAGCTAAACATTGCTAACTTTTAAATGATGTCATCTCAATTTCAGCTTCTCAGTATCATTTGGACCACTTCACTCTTGGCCTGGAAAAGCATCTTAAAAGACAAAATGCTCTTTCAGGTTTAAGCCTTATAAAAACAAACATGAGCAGTTTTATCATTAAACTTTTAAGACAGGGAACTCTCCCGAAGCAATGTTTCACCAAGCAGTAAGAAACAATGGGGATTTCTTAAGTAGTTTTCTAAAATAATTGATTTTTGCATTCAAATGTTCCAGTATAGCTGCATGGCACTAGATATTGACCTTTGATTCTGAAAAAAAGTTTTTTATTTTTTTGATTTTTCATAACATCTATCACTACTGAACCATCAATGCAGCTTTGGAAACACACATTGGCAGAGTACACTGAAGATTTAAAATACATTGTTGACATGGTAACTTAGCTTCTGCTCATCTCAAAGTTCTCCTCCTACAAAACTTTACTCTTTTTTTATTTTTCTCTGTAAATTAGCTAAGAGCAGATACTGAACTCCAATCTGGACACATGCAAGAGATGCTCAATACAGACTGTTTAAAAACAGAACAGGATACCAGTACATGGCATACACAGTATGTGTTCACTGACCTATGTGTTTCCTTCAGCATTCCTTTTCTTTCCTCCTCATCCTCCTCGAGACCCTTGTGAAAAAAAACTAACCTGTTGCAAGCTCCCTACATGTGAAACTAACTGACCAGACTTTCTAAAAATGAGACCAGGTTCCTGAAAGAATAATCTTGCACGTGTACTGTGTTTTCGACAGCAAAGTGCTGAAGCACAAAAACAACCAGCAAAATCCATTCACAATACAAGCCTTAAAACACCCGACACAGGATAAGCAGCCCTTTAAGAAGACAGCTACAAATATATTTCACTCCATTATGCTTAAACATACCCTTTTAAAAGCCATTCATTTATAGGTGTGATTGATAATAGCTGAAGAAAGAGCCATATTGCTGTTGGGAAGAACACAAGTGTAAAAATCTGGACAAAAAGGTGTAGTTTCACATGCATCAAAGCACTTGTCAGCTCCTGCAAAAGAAAAAGAAGAGAGGAAGTTGCAGTCATAACAGCTGAAGTAAGATCACGTTTGTGCTTTTAAAACTAGGATCATCTATAGAATACAAAGAGAGTACATGTCAAAAAGGCACCTTTAGGGATCATCTGATCTCCTCTTTAATAATGAAGTACATCCAGACAACATAAAAGCTCTGTCTGCTCCTGGGCATTTTTCCAAAAGAATTGTCCACCACTTCAAGAATAGCATAGGCTCTCATAACGGGAGCTTTTCAGCAGGCAGCCTTAGCACTTTGTCACTGCTTCAAACCCTGTGTTAACTATGCTGACGGCCTGTTTACTTTACTGACTGCCAGTATCAAGAGGAAGGGAAATTTGTAGTGTCCACATGATTTCAGGCTTCTCTAGTCTAAAGAGAGCCACAAACTGTGATTCGCATTTATACCATGAAAAAGGGTTGTTTCATTACAGTCATCATTTGTGGTGGCCTTTTTTTTTAAGGAAAGACTAACAAACATAAAAAGCAATTTGTAGCAGGTTTTGATCACTTATTGTATCAACAGATAGGAAATTTACAGAAAAAAATTACACTGATGAAGAATAACCAAGAAAGAATACCAAGAACATAACAAGCTAACAACAGCTAAGACATAAAATTCAGAGAAATAAATTGTAAAACACTGCTGGAGACTGAGAAAAAAAATAGATTAATTTTAAATAGTGTAATAGCACTCCTGAGAGGTGATCAAGTATCCTTAGACAATAAATTTTTCTGTGTCTCTCTGTTTCTATGTTCCTGGGCACCCCAAGGAGCTTCTACACAGCTTCTGAGTACAAGGAAAAAACCTTGTACACTTCAGCTCATTACAACTCTCAGAAACTGATAAGACAAATTCTTTTTCCTTTCTCTCAAAATACCTCGCGCTCTTTTCAAGTAAACAATGCAATGGGAAAAGACCTGATGGCACTTTTATTCAAAACCTAATTTGCCAGGATTCTCCAGCTAAGTGATACCCCAGGAACATTAAAAAAAAAAAAAAGCAAAAAAAAAAAAAAAATGTATTTCTATGTATAGTAATGCAGCAGTCAATCTTCAAATGCCACCCTCAGCTTCAAAACAGTTGCACTTTTATGAAGCACAATAAAATACTGCATTTTCAACCAACCAAATGCACGCTGATGTAATTATACATTTGGAAGTAATAGCAATTCAGCACCATGTCCTTGCTACCTTTTTCACCTTAATAAAAACTACCTCCCAAATCAGGGTTAAGGGGAAAAAACCTTCCACAAAAAAAATACACATCCATTCATATCCCAGTCTTAAAGTTATACAAAACAAGGACTATGAAACATACATTTTGATTCAGTTTTACCAAGAAGCATCATTATATTCAGTGTTTGGTTAACTGAATGAAATGGGCTTTTTAAATAAAGAAAACTCTTATGCATGCTAGCATCACTCTGGATGAAAAAATAAGCCTTCTTCACACATAACCTGTTGCAGTACCTACAGTGTTACGAATTGCTTCACTGTAGTACTATTTCATCTTGTCTCAAAAAGAAAGCAAAAATAAAATGTCTAGTAGTAGAAATGCATCCTGTGCGGGAAGAAAAGTTACCTGGAAATATTTCTATAAAAGTGTACGTTTTAAAAGTAAATAATATAATTGAGAAAAAACAAAGCAATTGACTTATTTCAACAAAGCTGGTAATTCCTTCTTCTTTCCTGCCGAGTCACCTCCAGCCCCAGATTTCCTAGTGGACCAAGCTATAAAGGCACCCCCAATCTAGGCACCATCACACATACACAAGTGCCCTTATAATTTAATATTTTTACAACTGGAAAATGCCTTAAAACCAGATGATTTTAAGAAAACTGTATAATACTTTCAAAAACAAAATCCAAGACAGAAAGTTGAGAAAGGCTGGTTAGATATTCCAGGGAACAAGGAAGGCAATTACAACATATCCAACCTAGTGCACGAAAGAATGCAACAGGTCTTTCCAGATCTGAATTACCAGTCTTTAAAACACCTCCAGTGACTGTCTTTTAGAATAGTTATTCCTTAGACTGTTATCATCATAGAACAAACACTTAAGGCAAACAGCCTTCACCCGCTTAAGCAATCTACAAAGGCTTGTCTCAAAATATATCCATCACTGTAGTCCTCAAAACAGAAGTCTCAGAAAAGTTACTGGAAGCTGCAAGTTATAACTGCTTCTGCACACCAGGTAGAACAGGTTACCTTGTCTTTCCCAGTATTTCAGACCTGTTAGAGTTTATCCTAGTCTCTCACTGGTCAGTGTGGGTCCCTGTTGCCATCCAGCCACATTTAGATGGTCACGGCTGGACTCCTCTGGGGAAATACCTACACAGTGCATACAGTGTTTTCAGTGGCTTGCCAAATTCCTCATTGAAATGGATAACTCAAGTAATGCGATTTAACTTCTGGAGCCCTACAGGAGGCATTTGCTTTCATAGAGCAAGCTATCCAGTCACTGAAAACTGAAAGAGCATTATATTAAGGTGGAATCAAATGTTCTTGTCATTACTGGAACCTTTCTACAAATGTAAGAGGACCTCAGTCACCTCTAGATTTGAAAACATGACAAGGCCATGCACAGATAGGCTCTCCCCAAACGCTGCCTTACTTTGTAAAATGCCTTCTGAATGCATGTTAGCAAATTTTTTTGAGCGTGCACCTTCTCAGCAGATAAAACCAGAAGTGTAACTCTAAAATAGCAGCAGCTCTTTCTAATTTTGTCAGATTTATCAGAAGGCCTCCGTTAACTCTTACACAACTTTCTATCATTTCATAAATCATACCAAACACTAGTTTCTATCTAATATATTATCCAAGGTAGAACAACCGACACACAGGTCAAGAACTAATAAGGACAAAAGCAGAACTTATTTACTTTGCAATCCAATAAAAAGATACATTAACTGACTAATACTATCAACTTTAGGTTATACCTTAAACAATTAAAACATGCTCCAAAGTATTTTAATAAAAACATGACCTGGCCTCCTAACACATTTAGGGATTGTTTTTAGCATACATTTTAGAAAGTAATAGCACAGGATACGAGTGAAATGGTTTTCTTCATTTTTAACTTCTACCCCGTGACAGAAATTCCGAAAAGGCTTAGCTTCTTAATATAACAAAGCTGGATGTACAGCACCAGTCCTAACTGATGCTTCCAAAACAATCTGAGATCAGCTACCTAGACATAAACACCAGCTCCTGTAAAAGCTTCATTTACGCCAATATATTGCTTTTAAAACCACAGATGAAAAAAAGTTATGCAAGTTCAAAGTAGGACATGACACATTGCCCAGGAACCTGTCAGTCATGTCACCTTAACTGGAAAGAGTTAGATGTCCACTATCATTGAGAATCTAATCAAGACTTTGATAATGCCCCTGATTTTACTCTCGCTTGCAGCTGCTTTACAAACATAAAGCTTGAAGGATAGAAACTACTGAAACGGAAAGAAGTTTTACATTTTTTCCTCTGCATGCAAAGATTCCTAATCCTGAAATCAGAAAACTCCATTCCGTTAGCACTACTCAGGCTTTGTGTTTCGGGTCCTCTTCTCTGTGGAAGAAAGCACTTCTCTGCAACCTACTGCCATTAGGATTAATTACTGTCCCTGGTAAACAGGTAACACGGTTCTTCCTGCTTCCCCATAAGACCACAAGGCTCTAAACAGCTGCTATAGAAATGACTAAAGTTATTCACTTCCCTTCTACTGTGTCCCGGCAGAACTAGAGGCCCTAGTGCCAGAACTGCCAGCAGACACAGGAGTGGGCTGCCATCAATTCAAACCCCATCACCATTTGAAACTTGAACACTATAACCACAACGCATGTATAGAATTTTTTTTTTGTTGACTGCACGCTGTTCATCCAAATCCCAGTTTGTCCAGAAAGTAACTGGACAACATCATGATGATTCTTTTAGGCATTAGTATCATGCAACATATGAATGACATCACCTGTTAGCACAGCCAACAGCATAAAAGAAATCAAGAAACTAGACTAAGAGACATGCAGTTTTTCACTTCAACTCTGGCTGCTCCTTCTCTTCTTGGCACATAGCCATAATTTCCTTTCTCCATGCCTCCTTTACACATCACTAAGGTTCTTTCCTTCATCTCTTCTTACTCCCAGATTGCTCCTCTTTGAAAAATGTGTGACAAAATTTGAAAAAAGTCTCAGCGCCTGTGATATGAAGTAGAACATATGCACTTTAAGTCCACCTGTCCACAACTAAATCCTACAGGAAAAGAATGCCAAGACTTTGTACCTGTATATTGGCCTTGCATCTGCAGATGAACCCTTTTGTGTTGGTATTAGCTGCTGTCCCGTGCCTACCAAATGCAGTAACTTAACCAGATCTTTGCTTGCATTAATCCTGTGGTGACTAGCCTAAAGAGTTTTAATTAGAGAACACACCAGCAGATAAGATGGAGAGAGGCACAGAGAACTGACACCTTCTCTTCACGTCCTACAGAGGAATGGAGACTCCACATAGCCCCTCTCTGACTAGTTCCCTACGATTCACACAGTTTTCTGGCCTGTATCTCAGCTGAGCAGTGGGGAAGCCAAAGTACAGAAGGGGTGGCAGAAGGCAGGTGCCAGTGTGCTCCTGGGTCTCACCCCAATTTGGGTTTGGGACACATCCAGGGCGTAGATCCAGTCTCAAAATTGTGCTCAGCACTTCCATTTAGTCAAAGCCCTGCAAAGTCAAGCAATCCACCCTCTATAGATGGGTGAAATTTATTCACACTTTCCTTCTCATCACGTTCATTACTTTGCAATGAATTTTCTGAAATCAAGGAGGGGTTATTCCATAAATGTCTTATCTGTTCTTGTTAGTCATTCTCCCAGCATAATAGCAACATAGCATAATAATTAAATATTTCAATTACATTCAAACCTGATCAAAAGCAACACAAAACTTTTTTTAAGCAAAACAAGAGCAAAGCAATGAGAAATTACAGTACCTCAGTTTTTAAGGAGAGTCCACTGTTAAAGAATATAGCTGAAACAGCAATGTAAGTTATGGTAATTTCTGGTTTCAGGGGTCCTAAAAAATACAGACATAAAGAACAAAGTGAACTACAGTCAAAGAAATAATGATATGCGTACATCACAATCAAAGTAAATGAGAATATCTGGAAAAATACCTGGAGAAAAATCTAACGATTAAAGTCCCTAATAAAAAGAATGGGGTTTCTATCAAGTTATAAGCATTATTAAATCAATATAAGTATTAAATAAACAAAAGCAAACCAGTGAGCAGAGAGTGAGGTATGACATACAAATTTGGGTTCCATGATTACAGGCCACTGGGAACTAACGAGTAAATTCTGGAAGTGTGAAAACAGGGAGTTTTTCACAGTTCTGCCATGAGAGTGTCCCTATAGCGTCAGCAAACTCAAACCCTACACTCCAATAAAAATATTAGCTGCTTCCTCCACAGGGTCATCAATATCATTTACATAGTCACCTCTCACTTCTTCCCCCACAGCGCAAACACACCTGCCTGGCTGCCTGCACAGAGGAAACCAAATCGTACCTTGCAATGATTTCCTTGGGGCAATTCTGCATTATTCCCCCACAACAGGGCTGTGGCAAAATGGTTCATTCCAGCCCTACAGTAACATTTCAGACACACTGCTGCAGTGAGATCAGCAAGGGCAGATGACTGCACCTCCAAGGGTTCCACTGTATTAAAAGCTTACATTTGTATGTATTTATATACTTTCTTTTTCAGGGAGATTACAAGAAAATACTTTTTACACTCCTATAAAAATGATGAATTCTCTTAATACACTTTGCCTTCGGAGCAAAGCACCAAGCACAAAATGTATATACTCATTTTTTTCACAAGCATTCAACCAGTTATTATATCGGAAAGAAAATATTAGCAGTCTACTTAGGACCAAAGTAATATCCTAACTCTGCAAGTGACAGTAAGTTGTCATGAGCAAAACTGCAGCAGCAAACAAGCAAGCCTTTACTTGACACTCCAGAAGAGAGGATCCTTTCTGCTCTCTCGGATGAATGATACATTGATGGTCACACTGGAGCAAGGTCAACGATCCTTAAATTAGAGGGACTTGATTGTACACCAAGTCTAATCAAATTTTCATCTCAAGTCGTTTAAACCCAAATCCTACTCTCAGAGGACTCTGTTGATGAGACACTAAAACTGTGTGTGTTAAATACAAAACACAAACCAAAAAACCTGTATGAAGCATAAGGTAAAAATAAGTCAGGAAATGTAAGAGTTAAAGTTGCAACAAAGCACATGGCTAGTTGCAAAATTATGGCATGTTAACTGAATAGTCAGGGGGGAAACAGAAAAATTATAAAAATATATATAGTCACACAAAAACTGTATTTTATAGATATAGAATTACATAACTTTTCTAATCTTCTAGAAGATTAGAACATACATGTACATGCACACACACACTGGACAGACAGGAACAGGCAGTGAGTTAGTTAATCCGGCTAAAATAGGCGTTCTTCCAGGACTCAGTTTTTCTGGTTTAGGGTTTTTCACTGGGCTACCTGATCTCCTTTACACAGGAGAAATCTCTACCACCAGAGCAAAAGCAGGTTCATGGAGCACAGGGAACTCTGGTCATAACAGACCCCCTTCAAGTCTTGTGCAAAAGACTGGTCAAGAAAGCTGTTTTCACAAAGGAACTAAATAGGCTCATTCATCAAATAGGAAAACACAGAAAAAGGGCTTGGCTTATGCCCTGAAGGTGGCAACAGCATAAATCTTTGTTATTTGTGGCACAATGTTCCACTGGTATGGACGCTGGACCATCCATACCATTCAGTAAGGCCCTGCAAATTACAGCGAATGGTTTTGTCAGCTGGAAGATGACAAACTAAGGGGTTTTTTTTCATATGCTGGTATTTCCTACCCCATATCTCTTTTTTTTTTTCCCCCCCCTCCTGTTTTTAAAATGAGCACTGAGATCACACAGCTTCAGAGGAGGGATACCACTTTGGGGAACACGTGCTTATGAGTTTCAATCAATCCTTCCAAGATTTTTCAAGCAAGTTGTCCCAGGAACAATACCATGTCAAAGCCTGACATCTCTTTGCAGTAGGGTAATTAAACAAAGTGCTCCATCACAGTGCTTCCATGCAGGAAGTAGGCTGAGGAAAAATTATCTCTTGTTCTAGTTAAAAGGGTCTCCCACATTGCTGCTAACAATTAGCATGACAATCAAACCAGAAAGGGACAAACCACCTGATACTATCAATTTAAAGTTGTCTTTAAGGTCTGCTGAAGACACAGCATGGATCCTGCAAGAAGCTCCATGTGGGTCCTATTCACCTACGCAAAGCAGAACACAAATGTTAGAGGGGATCCTTGCACAGCAGGAATTTGCCTACCCTGAACATCATGAAGGACCGGAGCCTTAGTTGCCACAGCAAGTGTTCAGAGCCATATTTTTTTAAATCTCTTTTTTCTCAGAACCTAAGTGCGGGGGGGGGAAAGGTTGGCTCCTCAGTGAGAAGCTATCCTCAAACTTCAGCTCTGTTAGGGAAAAAAAAAAAAAAAAAAAAAAATCTATGTGTATAAAAGCACAGCTAGATCCTTCCTCCCCTCCCGTAACATGGAATTGCTAAAGGAATTCTGTTCAAGTGTTCTACATGCCTTTTCTTAAATCTTCAGAGATCAATTAGAAAAAAAAAAAAAAACAAAAAAAAAACAAACCCACATTTAATTTGTTCTTGAAAATTGCTAACATCTGGAACTGAAGTTACAACAGAAACTAACCAGAAGATGCTGCCAGTATTCATACTTAAAGCTACACCACTGTTTATTGTCAAACAACAGGGGATAGCTGTTACAAGAAACATGCAAGACCTCACTACTCAGAAAAGGACAGATTTTTCTTCCGATTTATTTACTGTGAGCACTTGACACCATTTTGCACAGTGAAAATGATCCTGTTTTCCCTCATCTTTCATTATGAAGAGGGCACCAAAAAAAAAAAAAAAAAAAAAGAGAAAAATCAACCTGGCTGAAAATACAGCACACCTGAGATTTAACACAATATATATTAAGCTTCACCTCTCGGGAAGCTCATAGATGGCACACATTCATCCACCGAACGGCAATGGCTTTATGTCCACCTCGGAGTTCTTGAAGTTATTACTGAGTTTAGCGGGAGTACATTCAAAGTAAGTTGCTACCCAGTTTTTCGTTGCTACTAATCCGACAAAGAGCAGGGCATTATCCCGGCAACTGGTCCAGCGCCCAGCAAAGATACACGCAGGAATACACCCTGAAATGCTCCGAGGGTACCTGCCGACCAGCGGCTGGTTACCAGCCAGAGACGGGGAGCTGCTGGCGACCCACAGGAGGGCCCGGCGGCTTCGGCTGTGCCCCCCAGCCCGCAGCCTGCACCCCTGGGCCACTCGAGTCCCAAACTTTCCGAAAGGACGCCCCGAGGGACACCCCAGCAGCAAAACGCCCGGCACACACCTCCCACACGCACCCCCCCCCCGCGCCGGGGGACCCGCGGAAAGGCCCACCAGCCTCCCCCCCGCCTCCGCACCGCGGCTACGGGGCGCGGGGTGGGGGGAGTGTCCCCGCCGGTTCTCCCCTCACGGCTCTGCGCCGAGCGGCCTGGGAAAATTGGGGGGGGGGGTGTGTGGGGGGGTGTGCGGTAGCGGCCGGACTCACCCCCTTTGACGCCGACGGCGGGCTCCAGCCGCGCCGCCGCGATGACCAGCACGATCCCCAGGATGAACCACTCCTTCCGCAGCCGCTCCAGCAGCCCCATGTCTCACCCCCGCCGCCCGGCCCGGCCGCACCGCCGGGGCGGGGTGCAGCCGCCCCCCCCCCCCCGCCCCGCGGCCCCCCCCCCCCACTCCCCGCCCGCCGGCGGGACCAGCCGGATCCGCTGACAGAAAAAGTCTCACCCACCGCCGCCATCGCTACCACGCACCTCCGAAGAGCCGCGCAGAGGCCGCGCTGCGCCGACTGCCCCCCCTGCTCCGAGCAGTACCCCCACGGGGTAAGGCGGGGGGGTGAGGGGGCCCCGCGGGTGGCGTGCTGAGGGGGCGGGACAACGCCGCTGCTGTTGCGGGGCGGGGAGCGCGGCCCCCGGAGCCGGTCCCGGCGGGCGTAGTACCCGGTGGGAACGGTGAGGCGGCGGGAGCGCGCGCTGTTTTGGTAGATTACGGCGGCTGCGTGACGCCCGGCGTTTGACGCGTGGGAGGGCGGGCGCGCGCCCCGCCCCGCCCCGCCTCCCCCCCCGCGCTTCCACCCGCGTCAAGCGGGAACTGGCGGCTGCGGAAGCTCCACGGACGCACAACCTTTCCGTGGCGGCCGTTTCGCCGTGAAAATGCTGGCGGTTAAAATCCGGCAAGCCGTGTCGCGGAAAGCGAGGAGCCCCGGGCAGGCGGCCGTGTCCCACGCACGTAACCGCCGCTGTACGGCCACGGACACGCGCGCCCCGCGCCGTTCCCGCGGGCTGGGCGGCCGGTTTGCTCATCGCCCCCTCGGCGTTGTACCGGTGCCACCCCGCTGCCGGAGGAAGGCGGCGGGCACCGGTCTCGGCACACCCACGGGCGCCGCGACCTGCCGACACGGGCGCGCCCGCCGGCCGAGCCGGTATCCAAACCGGAGGCAATGCCCTGCGCAGGCCCGGCGGGGGGGTCATTTCAGTACTAAGTACATTTCCCTTCCAACAGACTGTCCTCAAAACCTACTCCTGGTGCTCGACCCGCGCTTCCCATTCGCCACTCCCCTCCCGCTGCCACTTCCACGAGGGGTTCATCAGCTCGGCCACGACCCGCTCGCCCATTCAAAAGGAAACGGTAAACCACCAAACGCTCGGTCACCAGCACAGCTGCTGCCACGCTGCCTTCTCCCTCCACGTTGCACACGCACAACGGTTCTGCTGCACGGTTTCTAAATATTTGGGGAAGTTTATGCTTCACAGGCTCCGTGGCTACACGTGGGCCCTGCCATATGCTTTCTCCTACCAAGTAAATAAATGCTTATAGCTCAAAGCTCAGCTGTGATCTCAGCTACTCGAGGAGGCGTACGTTGCTGTATGTCCTGTGAGGTTCGCTTGTGCAAACATGTATACATCATAGCTGAATTTTTTGAATATTTAGGGAATGTACCTTCTCGCACCCACAAGGAGATCTGAAACGTGCAGTTTAAAGCGATTACACATCTCAGTCGTTTCCTAAGGTTTACTGAGTGACACGTTGGCCCTTGTTCTGTTCTCAGATACAAGTGCCAAATGGCAAAACCTCCCTGCCTTTGCCTGTGCAACTGCTACAGGTTGGCTGTTTGGGGAGAAAATAAATGCATAACAGCTGTTCTTCTAGAGCAAGCTGTGATTATAACGAGCATAGGATTTGATTACTTGGAGGATTTGATTACTGCGCAGGAAGGATAAGATGAATCAGCTAAAGATGTAAAGTTAATGTTTAGCATATAAATTACATTAAATCTTGCTGTGGATACTCATTCACAGGTGAGGTGGCCCTAGTTCTATCACATGGCTTTTAATCTGCACCGTTCATAGATCAGAGTGCTTAGATCTTTTCCTACGTGGCTCTGAAGGCACACTAGCAGGAGCATAGGCCCTCCAAGCTGAATGCAGCAGGACACCAGGCAGATGTCCTGTGTTTCCCAGGCCATTTCATTGCGAATGTGTCCACAGCCCTGCGAGCTCTAACCACGGTGGGCAGGAGGCTTTGTGGTTCCAGCCTGGCAGGTTCCCCGCACACTGGGGAGGCCTCACTCTGCACCAGTGGGGCCAGGAGGCACACACAGCTTCAGCACGTTTCGGGGAAGCATTGCTACCAAGGAAAAGCAAAGGAACAAAGAATCCATTGAGGCCAAAAGGTAAGCACTCAGAAGTTAGAAGCAGCCAAATTTCACGGAGAATGAAGTTGCTGCAGCATCAATTGCTGCGGAAGCTGTAGATGGAGGTAAAGGGGCAGGTATGGAGGACTCTTGGTACTGGAGGTAAAATTCAGTCCTGCAGTAAAGACACTAATCTCTCTCTGCTTTTGCACCATAGTTTTTTACATGGTACTAATCGCACCCCTCATTCTTTGCAGGTGGATACTAATTATTAATTTCTAATCTTGTCCACTGCCCAAGTTAATTCTAGGTTCATTTTGCCAACAAGTTTCAGAAGTTTGCGGCTCTAATTGGCAAAAGTTAGAAGCCCCAGGTTAGGGCCTAGGATCTGGAAGATTCTCCTCATGTTTCCCTCTAAATGGTCACTCCTTGTGCATTGTCCCAAGCCTGTCTCTCCTTCTCTAGAGAAGGATAAGCTATCTCCCTGTATGTTAGATATAGAACAGTTAAGAAATAAAAAAAAAAAAAAAAAACCATGGTTTGGCAATGGTTATCAGATATCATCAAAAAAGTTTGACTTTTGTCTCACTAAAAAAAAAAAAAAAGATAAACTTAATAACACTCTGTTGCTTTAAGTGAATGCTTTGTCTGGAAATTTATTTCCAAGAGATCTGAAGTTTGTAATAAGCATCTTTTCCAACAGTTACAAAATACATGGATTCATGTGGCTCTTCCGTAACCTTTAAAATCATATACGGGTATCCTAAGCTGTGTATCGAAAGGCTTGGTCAAAGATATTTTAGCTGGTTTTGTTTAAAAGCTGTTCTCTGATTGTCATGATAAGCATATAGTTTAGATTGTTCCTTCTTTTAAATAAGAGAGCATTCTGTAAGCTCTTCCCTGCCCCACCAGCACAGAACAAGAAGGAAGAAATCGCTACGTGTTTTGGCAGGACTCTCACACGTCCTAAATCTGTTTGCAAGACAGCACCACTCTTGCTATAAGGCAATTTGTCATCCATATTGAGGCATTTGGTCAGTATTAGAGATGGATAATTCAGCGTCTGTCATCCAAAACTATATCCTGCAACATTTCACTTTCCTCATCAGGTTCCCGTCCAGATAATATACATATCCTAATTAACCACTGGGACTCGACCAGATCCCAGAATGGTCTGGCCCACATGTACATGTATTTCACATCATAGAAAACCATTCTGGGATGTATTCAGCTGTGCCTTAGACACAGTACAGGAACAAGAATTTAGCTTCTCTCTGATTTCACATGACCAAATTTCCATTTTTGTTCAACTGCAAACATACCTCAGGGCTTCCAGATGCTTTCCTGCCTCTAAAGACCCTGGTGCTTCCTTCTGCATAATACAAAAGCTTCATGACATGCGTAGCTACGTGACACCAAATCTTTGTTGTTCACAGGTAATCTGTTGAAATCAACAGGACTGTTTATGTGAGCAGCGGCCAGTTTTCATGTCTGCAAAGATGCAGAAGCCGACTGGACGTTTCAGGGCTTCACGCTATGAACAATCAGTCTTAGGTGGTTTGTAACTGATGCCGAGACGTCAGCTCCCCTTTGTGCCATGTGGAGCCTATTTCTTTTGTGTATCCAGGCTCTTATCTGCACAACGTACCTTGCTGTCTAATAACTACACAGTTAAGTTATTTTAGGGAATGTGCTGGGATTTTGAAGTTCCATAGTAGCAGATGTCATCTGATTATGCATTTAGACAGGAGAGATTTCAATATAAAAGAAAGGGGATCACGAGATAAAGGGAGCTTAAACGAAAGGAAGAGATAGTATTAAATAATTTAACTTGAAAAGAACAAAGATATTCAGAATGAACAAGATAAAGAGAGGTGTTAATTATAAATAGGAAAGTTGAGGAGAAAAAGTGGAAATATATGGGAGACAGTTTACAACACATTTATATTTCTCACAAGCACTTAGTGGCATGATCTCAGATTTTCTCAGGTGCTTGAAGAGATTGCTATACTGATCCCATTAGCTGGTTTTCCTTATGAAAATGGAGCTCATGCTCTTATTCTGTCCTGGCCTAGGTGCTTATACTGTTTTAGGCATCTGCAAGGGATCTCTTGGTTGTTGCTACCTGATATTATTAAATGCCCATGAGCACTTAGGTATTGCCAGCTGCAGGACTTACTACCATTAGCATAATGCAGTAGTAGGAATTATGTACAAGTTCAATTTAGAATAGCATTTAATGGGACATAAACACATATATAGGTATGCTTTTCTAAATAGAATCTATAAGATGATAAAAGGTTTTGTGAATCTTTGGCTTTATTTCTATAATGGTATGATTTTTTTTCCCCCAGAGACTTTAAATGCATAATGCTTTTTTTTTTTTTTTTTTAACTTGTCATAAAGAATCCTCTTACATATTTAGGTATCCAACAAATAAGCAATTTTTCTTTTACTTAAGAACCCAGCGTGAAATTTTCATGCACTAATATTAGGCATTAGGAAGAAAAGGCAGCAAACGGGGCTTTGCTGATCCCTTGCCTAGAACCTGCTTGTTCTTACACAGAAACAGAACCTGGCTTAGTGCTGCTCCAGCCATTGTATTCTCTTGCCTTTTTCTCTTAGACCTAGATCATATAAGATTAGAGAAATTTTCATATTTTGCACTTTTTCACAGAAATATGGTTTCCCAGTAGACAGCAAGGCTATAATGCATTCAGAAGGCTGGATTAAAAAAAAAAGAAAACCAAAAAGCAATTGGCATAATAAAGCTGTGCTTGAAACAAATTATGGGCTTCTTTAACTGCAGTTTAAAAACATAAGAAAAAAATATTTTTATTAAAACCCATGAAAATCTGTACATATTTAAACCTGAAAAATGAAAGCAAGAATATGAAATAGCTTCTCTGAATGATTTCACAGTGAACAACAACAGGATTTAACCTGTTAAATAAGACACTTCAGAGATAACATGGCGATACTTTTACATTTTTTCTCCTTACACTTACAAAAATAACCTTGTAATACTA